AGTATGCTATTGAGACATTTAAGCCTGAACATGTGAACGCCCAGTTTCCTCGGAGCACATACCGATCCGGCTACAGGGTCTGCGAGCGGCCGAGGCGAAGTCCGGAGGACCCGAGGGAAGCGCAGGGCCGCCTCGTGGCTGCCCACACTCGGCTCGCGTCCGTCAGCAGGCGGCTTCTACGGAGTTTAATTCCCTGAAACCTCCCCGTCTTCCACAATTCGAGATTTAGCAAAAACATGCAAAGAAAGCTACTTTTATTAAAGTTTGAACATCAACACATAGACTTCTACATAACTAATAACTCAAATGGCTGTCGTTTGCATGTAGAAATGCAAAAGTTATAACACGGATTTTATTGTCAACGGCAGATTGCCTGGGCCACGTCCTGTTTTTTTTCTTTTGCATGAGCAGTGCAGGTCTCCACTCCACACCACAGGGACACTCCGGGCACGGGAACTGAGGTCTGCTCCTTTCTCCTCAGCTATTCGGCCGGGAAACCCTGAATCAACATTTGTTTGGGACCCAAACGTACACCCCAGTGACACTGATCTGAATTCAGTAGTGCCAGGGTTTAGAGATGAAGCTAGCCCTGGGGCTGTTGTCCAAAGACAGCACCACAGCTCCAGGTGGACACACCAGGTGGACACACCAGGTGGAGAGAAATGGTCGAAACAAACACTGCACCTGGAGCAACGTACCAGCGTGGGGAAATAATTATCTCAGAGCTCTGACACACTGCTGCGAGGGGACACAGTCCAACAGCGACTTGCTTTTCCAATGTGGGGACCCTCCAGGCATTACTCGTCTGGAGAGAACAGACACAGGTTGTAGACAGACACAGGTATACAAATAAGTGTACAGATAGAGACAGAGACAGTTACAGATGTACAAATACATGACATAACCATATATAGTTTTTTGCTCTGTTGAAACTATGGAAGCCTACATAACTCTTCTTATAATAATTTTGAGCAAAACTCATCCTACAGATTCCAGAAAACTTGTGCAGGGGATTAGATGTTGTGAAGTCATCCGAAGGCAGTTGCAAACAGACACAAACAGTATCTGCCTCAGAAACATCAGGAGGGAAACCTGTCATTTAAAGACCAACCCTAATATATACCTCCTTTTCTGTACCAGGGCGTGAGAGGTGTGATGGGGGGCACAGGGGTGCAGACACAGAAACCATCTGGGGTCATGAACTCAGAGCCACACAGAAGTCACAGCACATCTGGCCCCAAGGAGGCAGTCCTGTCCGGACCTGCCCTGAGTTGCACCCCGCCCCCCACCCCGGGCTAAGAGTCTGATACCTGGTCCTGGGGTGCTCAGGAGTGTGCCCCGGGGCTAAGAGTCTGATACCTGGCTTGGGGGTGCTCAGGAGTGTGCCCCAAGGCTAAGAGTCTGATACCTGGTCCTGGGGTGCTGAGGAGTGTACCGCAGGGCTAAGAGTCTGATACCTGGTCCTGGGGTGCTCAGGAGTGTGCCCCGGGGCTAAGAGTCTGATACCTGGCTTGGGGGTGCTCAGGAGTGTGCCCCAAGGCTAAGAGTCTGATACCTGGTCCTGGGGTGCTGAGGAGTGTACCGCAGGGCTAAGAGTCTGATACCTGGTCCTGGGGTGCTCAGGAGTGTGCCCCGGGGCTAAGAGTCTGATACCTGGTTATGGGGTGCTCAGAACACAGTCTCACACTGTGCAGAGTTTGTTGATCTGGGAGAGAGCAGGTCCAAAAGTTGGGGTTTAGAACCTAGAACTTGAAGTAGGTAGACTTCAAGGTATATATTCTATGGTTGAAAGTTTCCCCCTTTTTTTTAATCCTCACCTGAGGATATTTTTCTATTTATCTTCAGACATAGTGTAAAGGAGGGAGAGCGAGGGAGAGAGAGAGAAACATCGACGTGACAGGGACATATGGACTGGTTGCCTCCCACACAACCCTGACTGGGGCCGGGGACAAACCACAACCAAGGTACATGCCCTTGACCATAATCGAACCCACAACTCAATGGTCGTGGGCTGAAGCTCTGACTGCTGAGCCAAATTGGCTAGGGCTCTACTTTTGATTTGGGAAGGCTAGACTTTTTTACTCTTGTTATATTGGCACATTTTATCTTCCAGAATTAAATTACGGCAACTTTTTTAGTGTCTCTAGTAATTATGTCTGCAACATCAAGTCCTCTCTGGGAATTCGCAGCCTAGCACCACGAGCAGGACAAGGATCAAATGCACACCAACAGCTCACTGAGGCCTCCACTGGCCATTGTTCCTCACACACAACACGCAGGGAACAGGTGTGATGAGCGCGCGGCCACGCCCCAGCCACACAGCTGGGAAGCACACCTGGGAAGCACACCTGGGAAGCACACCTGGGAAGACTCTGGCTGCTGTGAGCTAACCGGACGGGCCCGAGTCACCCGCCACAGCGGACGCCTCCGTTTCAGCCAGGGTCCCCACACCTGGTCCCACAGGGAGAACACTAAGTGGGCAAAGGACAGAAAGCCAGAAGTAGGCTCCACCCTCTCACCAGTCACTCAAACTCTGTCACCCTTTTGAATAATTAACGTAATCTCTCTGAAACGTCATCCAACACACATTCCTAAAATAAGATGAAAACACACTTAACGATGCTTTGCTACTGCTAATTTAACCCTAGATAATGACAGTGTAATTTGAGCTACATTCTCCACATTTTCTAATAAAAATTCAAAATAAATCTTGAGGAAAGTCAAGAAGTATTATATCTAATGTTTCTCTTTGATATATCAAGTTTGTCAGAACCATAAAGAAGAATTAGGTTACGTTGACAGGACTTATTCTTCACCTCAGTATGTTTATCTATGAGAGTCCTCGTATTTCGGAGCAGAAAGGGGTGCTGAAGATCATCCGTGGGATTGTCATTCACCCCGGAGGACGATGAATGTTTTAAGACCGTATAAATATAAGCATCATATATTTATGTCTGGTAAAATAACATTACTTTTGACTTATTCAATATAGTCACAGGTTGTCCAGGGCAATAGACAGTCTCCACCATTATTTTTAGACATTTTCCAAAAAGAACCTGAAGCCAACATTTGCCCCTGAAACGGTGCTAGATCAGTACCTCCTTAGCTCTTTGAAGTTAAATTTAAATATTTTAGATTGATATTTTTAGACTAAGACATATATTCATCATTTGTAATCAAATACGTTGAAAGAATATAATCATTCCCCTTTTCTGAATGTTGTATTCTTTTGGCTCACATAATTAAAAATATCTCTGATTATGAGTTCTTTCCTCCTTTTTTAATCATCTCAAAACTCTTAATGTCCTGAGACATTGGCAAGGCTGAGATATTATTTTTTATACAAACGAGCCCTAAAAATGAGGCATGGACCAATGTTTGAAATTGAGGAAACTGAAATTAATCTAAAGCATTCACATTTAACAGAACTGTTTCTGTCCAGTAAAATGCTGAATTCCAAAATGCTCAATTCCCAATGTTTTTCCAGCTTACTACGTGCCTTCTGTATGTACTATTGGCCAAATAAATTACTATTTCTACCTCTTCAGGAAAAATGTTTCATAAACAAAAATGTCACATGACTCCTATTCCATTTTTATAGGCAAAAGAAAAAGACATATTTGGTTAAACATGGGCTAAGACACTGTGTTTCAAGAAATGATAAATAAAATGCAAACACCTGCCCTGTCATGAAATTTGGAACAAATTTAGGAAAGGGTTGAAAGACTCACCAAACTGAACAGGCTCATCAAGGAATCTCAGTTTCTGAAGCAACAATTGACCTCTGATGATATTTGTTTTTCCCTAGCAGGAGAACCTCTGAGCGGCACTAGGCCGACTGCGCTGATCTCTCGCGGAGGGCCTTCCACGGGGCGCCCCTGCGGGTCTCCGATTTTCTCCACCACCTCTTCCTACTACCGCAGTGGCATCATGGGACTCACAACTCAGACGCGTTCTTTTTTTAAATTCCTCATAACTTAGTCATGTTTCTATTTATCAATTAGAGAATGTTTTATTTAATTACTTTTCTTTGTTGATTTGAGAGAGAGAGAAAGGGAGAAGGAGAGAGAGATAGAAACATCGATGAGAGAGAACATGGACTGGCCGCCTCCTGCATGCCCCCCACTGGGGATCGGGCCCACAACCTGGACATGTGCCCTGACTGGGAACCTAACCAGCGACCTCTCGATGCAGGGTCGACGCTCACCACTGAGCCACCGGCCAGGCAGACACATTCTTTTCAGAACTTCAAACTTAATTCCGAATGTCCTCCCCCACCATCATCATGTGGCTGAGAGAGATGTCACCTCTCAGGTCTCTTTCTAAGGGCACTATTATTCATGAAGCTTCCATCTCCAGGACTAAATTCCCTCTCACAGGCCTCACCTCCAAATAGCATCGCACTGGGGGTTGGGGGCTCTCGTGCTTGGCATCCCTTCTCCAGTGGGCTCTTCAGGTGAAAGGATTGTGCAGAAGGACGCGAGGCCACCTGCACCACGTGTGACCATGTAACCTAGGAAATGCACAGGTCCCTGCCGCGCCACGCTGGACATGGGCAGTGGGCGCCACACTCGCGGCTGCCTCTCCGCTCGACCCCCCCGACCCCATCGCTGCGTGCCCACGGACGAGTACACGCAGTGCAGAGACGCCTGCTGCTTCCTGTTCGGCCAGAAGAACGGACAGTGCCCGCCCTCGCTGCATCTCTCCATCTCTCCTCTCTCTTTGGTCCCTAGTCTTACTGCCAGGGTGGGATGAAGGCAGGCCTCTGGGGCCCGCGGGGTGTGCACGTGAGGCCAGTGGGGACTTCACTCCTTGGGCCAAAACAGGATGATTTGCACTGAAAATCAAGCAATCATCTAAAGATAAGATTAAATAAATTTGTCAAACACTCCTATAAAGAAATAGTGTATAAAACATTAAAAGTATGAAAATATTATAAATTCCAACAGTGTAAGATTATGTAAAAAAATATATAAATTGCAAAGTCACATTAAACTCACCCTGACCTGGAGGAAATTTTTTCCATTTAACAAGCGGGACTAGCTCACAGATCGATAACGTTGGCCACTCCTTGTAATATGGACACTGATGAATTAATTTCAATATTTGTTTATTTTCAAATTTTGTTTGTTCCTGGAAAAAAGTCATTAGCAAATTTTCTGTGTTAGGTAATTTTAAAAAAGGAAAAAAGGATAGCAGATAAATGTCAGTAAAAGAAAAATAAAGGTTACATGATCTAAATTAGCATAAAATACACTTGAATTTTTTATGAGCATCATTCTATGACTACATAACCATGCTGAAATTTTAATCTTCAGGTCTGCTACTAAAATTTTATTTTCCCACCTTCCATAATATTATTTAAATGCTATTAATGTTTTAGCATTAAAAAAATTTTGTCATAGACAAGACTAAATTCAAAAGTTGGAATTCATACTATCAAATCAGTAATACTGATATTCTGAAAATACAAATAAAACCTACAAAAACATTGTTTTAAAGCCAGCTACGCTGAAACCAGGGACTTGGGAGGAAGCTGAATTCTGAGAATGTCATTGGCACCACCAACACGGACACCATCATGTCTAAAGAAAGCCTGACAATCCCCGCCCTGAATCAAGAAAGCAGGTGCCACCTTCCTCCCCATGGCGGGGCGGGGGTTGTCCCCGACACAACCTTCCTCTGACAGCCAGGGGGACAGAGCTAGGACAGCACACATTTTGGATTTGACTATAAGAGAATAAATTGTGAAACTTGAAGTAAACAGTGATCATGATGCCTCAGAACCGGGTCGGGATGAAGTTCTGATCACCTCATCAAGCACCTGGGTCACACTACAAAACAGCGTGCTGACCACACCCAGGTGTATTTCCAAGGTAGACTGCAGAGATGCAGAGAGCCATCTGTCTTGTCGTCCTGGTGTCCCTAACACATGACATGCTGTTGACACCCCCAAACATACATTTGTTGAATGAATAAATGTTAAATTCATAAAAAACCAAAAGCCATCAAAAATATACTTAAAATACAGGGTGGGGCAGCCTAGTCGGTGTGGCTCAGTGGTTGAGCATGGACCCATGCACCAGGAGGTCACCAGTTCGATTCCCATTTGGGGCACATGCCCAGGTTGTGGGTCTGATCCCCAGTGGGGGACATGCAGGAGGCAGCCAATCGATGTTTCTCTCTCTCTCTCTCTCCCTCCCTCTAACATCAATAAAAAGAAAAACCAATTTTTTTTAAATAAAGAGTTAAAAAAACACACGGGGTGAGACAAAAGTTGGTGTACAGTCCTGCCCGGTGTGGCTCAGCTGGTTGGGTGTTGTCCAGTGCACGAAAAGATCGCCGGTTTGATTCCCGGTCGGGGCACATGCCTGGGTTGTGCACTAGATCCCCGGTGGGGCGTGCAGGAGGCGTCTGCCACATCAATCTCCCTAAAAATCAGTTTCTTTAAAGTAGCTTACAGCCCAGCCAGTGTGGCTCAGTGGAGGGAGTGTCGTCCCTTGGACTGATACCCCAGTTCAAATCCCAGTCAGGGCACATGTCGGGGTTGTGGACTCAATTCCCAGTAGGGGGCGTGCAGGAGGCAGTTGATTGATGTTTCTCTCTCCTGTTCCCTTCCTCTCTCTCTAAAAATCAATAAAAAACATTTTTTAAGTAGGTTTACAGTTGTTTGCATGGGGAAAAATACAATAATTAATAAAATAATAAGAATACAAGAATAAACTGTTTTGCATACTCAACTGTAAACCTACTTTTGCCCCACCCTGTATATCTGTGAGACCTTCTTTTCTACTTCAATTACCCATCACTATTGGAGGTTTAAATGATGGTCTTAAAATAAACTACATTTTTATGTTGTCCAGGTCAAGTCAAACTAAAAATAAGAGAGATACAGACATCTGTCCAGAGAGGAAAATTTTCTCTGGAGTCTACAGCCATGTTGTGTTAATGTACGGATTAGATTTGATCATACCGATTTTAACCTTGCATAATTGTTTGCAGAGATCTTAAGCATTTCACAATCTTCTACCGTCACCACTAAGTACGTCTTTGGTTCCGACTGAATCTGAGTTGTAACTTCCAGGGTTCCAAAGGTACTCCAAGGTCGAAGCTACACAAAATAAGGCAAAGGCACTTAAACTCCGTCATCACTCATCAGCAAGAAGGTCTACAAGGGGGAGATGCAGGTCAAATTTCCAGCCTGTGAGGGAAGGGGCCTGAGCAGCCTGGCATGAGTGTCTCTTCCCCAAATCAAGAAAAATGTCCACCGCTTTCATTACATAAAGAAAATAACTTAAGCCCTGGCCGGTTTGGCTCAGCGGTTAGAGCGTCGGCCTGCGGTCCAGAGAGTCCTGGGTTCAGTTTCCGCTAAGGGCATGTGCCTCAGTTGCAGTTTGTCCCCGGTCCTGGTTGGGTTGTGCAGGTGGCAGCCACTCGATTTGTCCCTTTCATGTCAATGTTTCTCTTTCTCTCTCCCTCTCTCTCTCTCCCACCCTATCGGAACAACAAAAAAAAAAAGAAGGTCCTCGGGTGAGGATAAAAAAAGAAAATAACTTGAGACATTATTCTGCATTTTTGTTAAACATTAAGTGTTTGAAACACAACCATTTTAATGTAATTCATTCATTTCTCATTGCTGTGTGACTAGACTCAAATTATATATTCATTCTCTTGTTGATGAATATTTGTGTTGTTATTGTTTTTTGGCTATAAAACAATGATAACATGAGCATTAGTGTACACGGCTCCTCATTTCTCACAAAACTATTTCTCTAAGATATGTGCCTAAGGTGCGAGTTCTCTGCTACAGAATGTCTTTGCACCTTGACATCTAATAAACTGTTTCCCAAGACATGAGTTCTAACTTATACCCCTTCTCAGAGCAAAAGTGCACACACTGTCCGTTTCTGAACAACTTCTCTGACACTGTCTATTGTCTCATTTTCAATATTTTCTAGTTTGGTAGTAAGTATTATCGTTGCACTTTTTGTGATTTATTTACATTTATTTTTAACTGTAAACATTATTTACTGTGTATTTCCCAGGTTGCTAGTGGCAGAGTGCTTTCCTTTGCCTTTGACAACGTCTTAGCCCATAGTTTCTCTGCTATAAAGTGTTGATGTATATGTCTGGTGTGTTTTCCTTTCAGATCTGTACGTCCTTATGGATTCCTGGGAGTACCCTTTGCCTCCTGTGTGTGTTAAAAACATCAATATGTGCCTGTCTTTTCATTACTTAGGGTATCATGGGATGAGCAAAAGTCCTTGATTTAAAACAAATATCCTTAAGTTTGCTTTACAAGGACCTAGTTTTACAAGCTTCTGCTATCATAACATCATGGAGAAATTCTGCCACATGGTCTAAACAATTTGAGTTCATTCTTTTTACGATGACGTCTAGGACCCCGATTTGATATTTATTGCTCTATGAAGAAACACACAGTTTTCAATGTTCATCCTGTGAGCACATCATCCTACCACCTCTCCGCTGTTCTTCACGATGCTGTTTCGTGCCGTGAGCGATCGCACCTGTGGGTCTAATTCTCGACCCTCTGGCTGCCAGTATATTCATCGATGAGCCACTATCTGGCTATAAAAACACTATTAATAATGTGGCTTCATTTTTAAGTCTCGTTATCTGGCAGGACAAGAACCTCTTCCCCAAGTGTCCTTTCAGGAGCATCTGGCCTAGTCTTGGTCTTTTGCTCTCTCATCCAATTTTTAGAATCACCTTGTCAAGTTCCACAAGGAAACTGGACATTTTCACTGGAATCTCATGAGACCTACAGATGATTCAGGGAGACTTGTCGTCTTAAGGTGTTGAATGTTCCTGTTCATGAACGTGGTGTAATTATATGGAAGCCTTCTCTAATAGCTTCAATAAAAGTGTAAAATGCTCTGCAAAAAATATCACAACGGCCCTGGCCAGTTTGGCTCAGCGGTTGAGTGTCGGCCTGCAGACCAGAGAGTCTCGGGTTTGGTTCCTGCTAGGGGCATATACCACAAAATAAAAAAGTATTGCAACATTTTATTACTTTATTAAGTAATCATAGTTTGTGTAGCTACTTAAATAGTATTTTTAATTGATGATATTGCTAACTGACTATTATTCCCTATGCTTCTGTGAATTCTTTATTTTATTCTTATCAACTCAACAATGTTTTACAAAAGTGTTGTATTATTTTTAGTCATTTCTTTAGTGGTTTCCATTTAGAGAAGGGATTGGCGTCTTTTTTTCATAACAGACACAGATATTCTCAATTTTCAGGCCATTTGGTCTCTCTCACAATCACTCAATTCTGTAGTGTAGAGTAAAAGCAGTTAAAACAGTTTATAACAAATGGTAGTGGTTGTGTCCTAATAAAACTTTATTCACAACAAAAGGCTGTCATCCATATTTTGCCCAAGGACTCGAGTTTGCCAACCTCAAATCTAGAGCTTCATATTATCAAGTCCCCATATTATTTATTACTTACTGTTAAATTAAATATGTGTGTATGCCATAATATATATGAACTTTATCTCTAGTATTTAACCTACAATAACAGTAATATTTTGTTATATAATACCATAAAAGATTATTACTAAAATATGATTTTGTGTAATTTAAACTTTAAAAATTAGAGTATCAGTCTTTTTAATCAATATATTCCCTCTTAAAGTAGCCTGTCTGTTTCTTGTAAATGTTTTACATCTAACTTTCTTTGATTTATATGTTAAATATATGTAAACTATAGTATATAAAATCTATTAAATTCTAGGAGAAAGTATAAAGCTTGGGAATTTTGCTGATCTAGGTAAAATTTAATGAGCCTGCTGGAAAGGCCTTTTGGTTGATCACTCTAATAATAGAAGAGAAATATTCACTCCTGTTAGGTGACATATTACTGTAACTGAACATAAAGCAAATCCTCTGGGAAAACAGTTCATCTGGAAACAATTGTGGAGTGTGTGTGTGTGTGTGTGTATTCTGAGCACGTCTGGGGTAGGTTAGGCTAGGCTATGATGTTTGGTAGGTTTGGTGTATTAAATCCATTTTCAACTTATGATGCTTTATGGGGATATAACCCCATCATAACTGAAGAAGTGTCTGTATAAACATTATTTGTCATTGAAGAAAGACAGTCAGGGTTGAGTTCACTATACATCACCATGGTTCTGATCATACATCTTAGGTGATATCACACAGTGAATACATATCAGAGGGTCTACTCAAACCAGCGAAGTTCCTTCCCCCTTCTCAAAGCAGGCCCTGCTTCTCTGCCTGCTGGCTCCCACAGTGAGCTGCGTCAGGTCAGCGCCCTAACCACGCGCTGGACGGAAGCTGCGGGCGTGTGGCCAGCGTTCCCACCGCGCCCTCTCTCCAAGGCCATGACAATGCTTACTCATTTCAGCAGCGAGCGCATAGGTGTGCAAAATGTCAGTGGAACTGAATTGGCCTTAAGGAAAATGCCAAAATATAGTCATTTATCAGAGCAGATAAGGACCTCTTAAAGTAGTGTAAAATTTTAAATGCTAAAGTGGTAAATTTTATGATGCTCTGTCTCAACTGGGAGAACCACACTAAAGTTTATTTCCCTGTCTTTGACCAGGGCATATATTAATGAGACTCTTAGAAACAAGGGAAGAAAGTAAAATTATTAAATCTGCAATTGACAAGTAACACTATTAAAGAGGAGGAGTCTGCCCTGAGACCCAGTAGTAATGTTTTTGCCATTCTGATTCTAGGGTTGGTTGGTGTGTATTTTTTAATCTCTTAATAATCTAATAAAAACACTCTGTTCAGCCCTGGCCGGTTTGGCTCAGTGGTTGGAGCATTGGCCTGTGGTCCTGAGAGACCCCGGTTTGGTTCCTGCTGAGGGCGTGTAACTCGGTTGCAGTTTGTCCCCGGCCCTGGTTGGGTCGTGTGGGTGGCAATCACTCAACGTTGATGTTTCTCTCTCTCTCTCTCCTTCCCACTCTATCTGAATAAAAAATGGAAGAAATGTTCTCGGGTGAGGATAAAACAAAAACAAAAACACTATGTTCAGCCATCCTGTATACTGTGTTTAAGAAAGAATTTATTAGGGACAAAGCATAATTCTTGAACTATGCCTAAATGATGTCTTGCCATTAGCAAGGTGGAAGAAACCACACTCTTCAGGCCTGTGACACTAACTGGTACCCTTACCCCTGTGGTGGTAACTAACCTGTGAGCATACACCAGTCACCAAGGAAATGCTGGTCATGGGCAAACTTAGTCCCATAGAACAAAAAAGAACATGCTTGACCTTCCTATTTCTATACTCAGATACATCCCAAATAATTGGCTTAATTTCAAGTGTTTTCAAAGAAAGAAAATGGTGCAGTAAGAAGCACGATTACAAAGAAGTTGGGGCGCATTGAAATGTCCAAGTACATTTGAGTAAAACACTGAGGTCGTTCCTTGAACAAGTGAAGAATCACTAAGTCTGCGGGAAGACAAGGCAGTCTGCTGGAGGAACTTCTGGTGAAACAGAAAGGCAGCTTCGAAGACGTGATTGCTACGATGCGCTTTCGTAGAAGTCCAGGATCTCCAAAGCGCACTTTAAAGATTGATGGTGCTAGTGGAGAAAAAAATTACTGCATTGAACCCAATAAAAATCAATTTTGTTATTTCTTTTTCCAAAATGACTGATCTTTACACATAAAAAGACAATGTTGGTACTCAAAACTCTTGGCTCAAAGAGTGCAAGAAGGGATGACTTGCTGAAGGGGAAATGCGCGATCACTGAAGCTTTGCAGCGGCAGACGCTTTGTGTGAGTCTGCACAGGGAGGCGGGTCAACCCCACTCGGTCCCAGGGCTGGCCAACAGCAGACTCACCCGGATGCTAAGATTCAAAATGCTTTAAACCATGCGGTTGTTTAAGTAATTGTTCTTTATCATGCGGACAAGAGTATAGTTCTCTAAATTTAAAATGATGTGTTTATAGTTACTGGTCATATTGTGATAAAAGAGATGATTTATAGCTTCTTTAAACCTGCAGCATCAGTCCCTTTTGTCTTATTCTATTTAATGAAGACATAAATGCTTCCTACCCAATGCACTGCACTCAGACTTCACGAATATCAGCTCCCTGGATCCTCCTAACA